ACTCTGGTCTTTACTTCAGGTGTGCCATTGACTTGTCCGTTGTGGATCACATGACATTTGTCATTGTCATGTAACTGTCGAATTGGTTAGATGAGAGTGTGTCTGGCAATGTTCTTTGTATTGTGGAATTAACTCTCTAACCACTTACCATCTTCAAATTTGAAAGTGCCAAGGAAGTATTTCGACTGCTTCCATCCATTCTTTGCTCCACTCGTTGTTGATGTGTGGGGATTTGGTTACACTCGCTCATGATTCGCCTATCCTGAATCCAACTTGTTCATTTCGGTACTCTTGTGTGTACCCCGTCACACAGTCTTGATAGACTCGATATCTCGAGTTCATATTTGATTTGGGTGGATAGGAGAACGATTCCACTTTAGTTCTTGCAGTGGCCTAAGTCATTCTTTTTCAGTGGCTCTATACAGCGCTCTCTCTCTTTATTGGTGGTTGAATTCACTTCTTTCCACACCTTTCGGAATACGAGTGTGAGCATATCCTGTGAGGTCTCCGGATCAGTTCTCGATGCTTGCTTAAGGAAGTATTCTGTCTGGGCCTGGATTTTTCACGGCTGGCCTTCAGTAGCTTTTCTTCTTTCAGGATTTCTGCCTTCGATTTGGTCGAAATGAAGAAATGATGGTAGAGCGAGCGGCCAAAAGAATCTAAACGGTCACGAATGATCTCTTATTTAGCGGCGTTGAGTTTAAAGATGATACCGAAACTGAGATTCTAGAGAACCACCTATCCAGATCACTGAAGTGAGTTCGACAATCTCCTCTATGATATTCCTGACTATGGCGAACTGGATTTCGCGGAAGACTGTGAGTGGGAGGGAGGATGCAGGAATATGTTGGATTGACAAGAAGAAGATTTTGACAGACACTCACTACTGTGAATTCAGTGTGAGAACCGACTGCACTAAACACTGAGAAGAAGATTCGGATTTTCAACACAAATGTCACATCAGTCAATGCATCCACATAGTAAAGAGACTTGGCTCATGTGATATCAGAAGTCTTTCTAACAGAGTAATGCACACTGTACCAACCAACATCTGCCACCTTCGCTACCTTCATACTGAAAAGAAGATAGCCAGTCAGAAGGGGTTAGCTGGAGGGCCATCTGGCAGCGAACTAACCAGTGACCGATTATCCAACAAATACGGCGAAGAAAATAGAGATGTGCAGGAGGGAAGAACTCCGTGTGAGGGAGACCGTCGAGTGACACAACACGCCACAACGTCAATTGAGATGTAAATAGGAAGTTGCAATGACTTCGATTTCCGAGGACGACGTGAACAAGATCAAGTCAGGCGACCCGACTGATAGCTGCCACCTTGAAGTGGTTGTGCACATCGCGATGACCCAGCAAGTTACACTGGCGGGTACCAATGTTCCTGCAGTTACTACCAAGCCAGGAATGTTGTCAGGAAAGTGACTAGACAAAAAGCAGTTACCGGCATCGTGTAAGAATCTTTCTTAGACTATGCTGGTGGTCTGAAGGCGACGTTGTACTGCTGGGGAACAGGGGTGTAACAGCATTGAAGTGTTCCCCTCAGATGACCATCATGCTATCTAGATCTGCTGTCTGTCCACTCTGGAGATAAGGGGTTAGAAAAGTTTCACCCCGAAAATTGTGCATCACGACTTACTCTACGATGGTCCGTAAACAGCGGTAAGTTTACTAATACGGAAGCGATCCCAGAAACCAGTTCATACAGGCCGTGTGTGACCGGCCTCAACCAGTTGTCTTCTGCGCTCGGAGGTCACGCAACATCCTCTGTTTCAGGTGCCCAAAGAATCAATAAACTTTCACGGTGTGGGCAGCCGGAAAGTAACAACCGCTCACACTCCCCAAAAAGCACACGAAGCCTTCCTGAGCATCTTTCGCTCTTACTCACACCACCTTCCTCATCTTGCTTCTCTGCTACAGTTAGTACTATTCTGCAGTCTAGTGAGTCATCTTCACTTCCCTCTGTGACCACAAACAACGGTGAGATCCATAGAAACACCCCAGATATCCTTTTAAAGCCACGTCACCAACTTCATATAGGAGCATTCAACGTCACGACCCTCTGCCAAATCGGACAACAGGCATCACTAGCAAGAACTCTGGCATCTCGAGTCATGGATGTATGTTGTGTTTCGGAGACACGCATACAAGACACGAGTGTGGTCATTCATTTAACCTCATCCGGTCAACAAGGTGAATCTGCGAAATTCACTTTAAGGATGTCAGGAGACCCCTCAGCCAGCTCGCGATGACTCTCAGGTGTAGTGATAGCACTGAGAGTTAGGACGGAAAAATCACTTCTGGGCTGGATCCCAGTAGATAATCGCGTGTGTGCGGTTCATCTGAATTGGTCCGTTAAAAGAAGGAAAGACAGCACAACCTGTCGTTGCCTCTTCGTAGTCTCCGTTTACGACCCAAGAGACTGCAGTTCGGATGAATTAAAGGATGACTTCTTCCTGAAACTGTCTAATTTGCTGCAAAAAGCAAAACGTTCAGATATAGTTGTTTTAGCAGGTGACTTTAATGCCCAAGTAGGGAAGTCGTGCCAGACTGAGGAGTATGTAGGAGGTAGGTTTATAGTTCCCTGCCGACAAACCGACAATGGTGACCGTCTTCTACAGTTTTGCTCAGATAATCATCTGTTCCTAGTCAGCACTTACTTTAGCACAAAGAGAGACATTGTGTGACCTGGTGACCTCCATCACCAAATCAACGCTGGACTCAGATAGACCACATAGCCATAGAGTATCATTGGCGAGGGTCAGTAGAAGACTGTTGCTCATTCTGGAACACGTGCGTAGACTCTGATCACACTCTGGTTCGCGCAAGTTTATGTTTACGTCTAAACGGTCATAATACATTGACGGCAGTGAAACAGTTACGTCCCCAATTAGATCGAGACACTGAGTCCTTATTTAAGGAAGAAATAGCGAAACGAGTGTCTGAGGTCGACGGCAGTACTTCCCCTGAGGTAGCCTGGCACAACATACAGCTAGCTGTAGACACAGCTGTAAAAGCTGTTAATAAGCTGAAACCAAAATTTAGTAAGAGCCAGTGGATCTCTACCGCCTCATTCTAACTGGTTAACACAATAAGACTGATTCCGGTGAGCTCCGATTATGATGAGGAGCGAAAGGCACTCCCGCCAAATGCAAGATGATGTTACAGGACTGGACTACACCGACTCCTAGATTAGAAATAGGAAGTGAATTGGTAGAGCACGTTGACCGCTTCACTTGTTTGGGAAGTACCATCAGCCAATCTCAACGGGTTGATCTCTGATGAAATCTCAGCACGGATACAGAAGGCTAGTTTCCCATAAGCCAGTTTACGCCGTCTCTGGCGTAGACGTGATATCCGGCTATCGACTAAAGGGCGGGTGTACTGCTCATCAGTCTGCTCCGTCCTCCTTTAAGGCAGTGAGATCTGGCCATTGAGAGTGGAAGACGTGAAAAAGGGCAGTTAGCTGTCTTTGATCATAGTTGCCTGCGCTCTATCTCCCGTGTGAAGGGGTATAATAAGGTGAGGAATGTTGAGGTTGAGCTTCGGTCAAGTGTTAGGTAGGTGGGAGGGGAAATCAATCAACGAGGCTGTGAAATTACGTCGACTGAGATGGTTGGGACATGTGTCACATATGCTTAGTCATCGCTTTCCTTGACTGATAGGTAATGTTAGCTGACATAGGGTCAGGCTGGAAAAGAGTCAGCTAGCGGCGCTCAAACCAAAACATGGTACCAGTCAATGAAATCCACAACAGTTAGTTTAAGCTGGCCATGTTGGAATGTGTAGACTTCCTGACTGGTTGGGGTCCTCGGGGCGGTAAAAACCAATGTTTGTAAACAATTGGTGATATGGCTCAAAATCGTTCTTAATGGCCAGCGCAGATGCATTCACTCCTTGTGACTTATGATTTCCAATGAAACTATATTATTCGTCGTTATCACTACTCCTTTGTCCCACACCTCTGTTTACTGTCTCTATTATGCATTTCTTCTACTTTCTTCTCTTGCTTTGTGTGCTACTAGGAGGGAGTGTAGCGACTTGAACTGGGGCACATCGGTGCAAAGCTCTATGTCGAAAATAGACAGACAGACAGACAGAAGTCAGGAGGACTGACGGCTTTTCGAGTAGTAGTGTAGCCTATGGAAAGTGATTTTAGACAACCAGGTGTAATCCACATAAGTCAATGAAATCATATATTGCACTGGGAACGCGAGGAACGCATAGTCTTAACCACTTATCATTAGTGTCATTCAATCAAACAGATCAGTTGATCTCCCACAAGACAAACTACCGCGAAGTGGTTCAACATTTCTTATGGAGGTGTCAGTCATCTTGATAGTTTTTGTATAAACTCATTATATTATTATTATATCCTTTAATTCCTAAAGCGACATAGGGCTTCAGCCGCGCGTCTCCTTTGCGTTCGGCTCTCTTCCAACGTTTTCACCCCGCTCAAAGTCTGCCCACATGCTTTCATCTCCTCTTTACATGACCTCCTCCAAGTCACCCTAGCACTGACGGCCAACTCGCCGCTTCCCCTTCGGGTTACACTCGAGGGCTTGTCTAGTGATTTCACTTGATGGATTGTTTCCCCAGAGTATGGCCAATCCATCTCCATTTCATAAACTGATAAATATCGCCAAACATCAAGAATACAGAAGTCAGTTGTGTGTTTTCCAGTCGTCATTATTATTCGAGTATATGTTATTATGATAAATATAGAAGACGGATATCTCTGTAACAGTCCGAGTGTTAATATTTACCCAAGTGTGTGTGTGTCTGTGTGTGTAGGTGAGTGAGTCAGTTAGTGTTGTGTGTGCATGCATGAATGTGTATTGGTGTGTTACTGTGTTACTGAGTGAATGAATGAATGAAATGATTGTTTCATTTGTAATACACAGAAGGTTAACAATACATTAGAAGGCAAATGGAATTCAGTTGGTTTTGGTTTCGACTTCTTCTTCTTCTTCTTAGTTTCCGAGTCATCTTCAGCGACCGAATCTTTGATGAGAAATGAAAGAAAGAAGAATAAGAAAATATATGCGTCAAGTGAGTGATACAATTCAAGCGGTGTTCAGATAGATGATGACATGTTATATATATATATAGACATATTTTAATATGATCAAAAACTATTAACGCAGTCACAGATATCAACAAACCTTTCAGATGATGTGTCTCATCCCTCATGCGTGAGTTTACCCAAGGTGTTCTCGTGCACAGGTTCTGTGCACTTGTCTGCATTCCCACTATTTCGTCACACCGAATAACTGCTGTTCAATGCAGTCAAGTCATATACTACACAATTCTTCCATGTGTAATCGAAAAGTGTACTTAATTTCATCATATCTATAATTACTAATAAGAGAAGGTGAACTGTGTCAATTACATATTACGAATTCGATTTCAGGTGATACCAGTTCACCCGAGTAGCCAGAGAGACGTCGGTTGGTAAGACTGATTCGGTTCTCTCAGCTGAGCACTTCGAGCGAGTATACGACCGGTTAGTTCGGCCTGAAACCAGCAAAATAGCCATCCGCTCTCCAGATCGCTCCGATCTCTCTGGTTGGTCGGCTGGCTGGCTGGCTGGCTGACTGGTAGATACTATTGGTTGACGTGAATTCCATCTAATCACTCATCGCCATCAATCAATGGGAAATATTTCTGCATACACTCAGTTTAACATGAGATCGTTTGAACAAACCAGGTCATATACTTCAAATAATCTATCGCCCAAATGAATTTTATTCAGTTGTAGATAATTAGTCAAGCATGCTGAGTCATTTTGATAGTGAATTTCCAAATGTGCATTGAGTACTCTCCAGTGTAGCTCAGCTTAGTATTCTGCATAAAAATGAACAGAATGTGTGTTGAAAATCTTACTTTATTTCTCTCACAGGTAGGATATTGTTGAGGCTGATGACTTCTGTGAGTCGGAGTGTAGGAAGACAAGTGGACATGATGGTGAGAAATCCCCAGAAAACAACAACTAGTCACCGCACTTACTGTTGAAGTCAGTGCTGAGAATGTGAATAAAGCGCGCGGGTGTGGGCACACACACACATACACAGGGGATTTTGCGCTTGAACACGAAACTTCCGCATATTAGTGTAGTTTCCGAGCTCTGTGAACTGACATCATGCCACATTTGGAAGTACGTCAGAATACCTTTGCACAATTTTGTTATGGATACGATTTTATTTTGATAAGTTACACAGTGTTACACAGTAATATTAACTGATGACATCTCGAAACGTCATTGAATTATACTCTACCACAGTGCCCGAGTTTTTTACTTATACTCTCTACACAATCATTGAAGGCTATTGGATTAACTGAATTATTTATTCCATCGATTCCAAGGGACCATTTGAACGACATCACTTGTTAGCGGGTGAGTTGGTTTGTGGCTTTTAGTGCCACTGTCATAACGATCATGTTAAAAATCCTCCAGGCTGTCCGCATATCACACATTAACTACATTGATTTTCAACAAGGCAAGAACAAATGTTTTTGCAGGATAACATGAGGCAGTCACTTATTTCGAGGGACATTCTTCACGTACTGACAACCGAGAAGTTGATTATGTGAATGTGCATGGGCTTTTGCCATAATTGCAAGGCCCAGCAGATACATTTATCAATAAACAATGTTCACACGTTCCACTTGTATAACTTGTGAAGGAGGTCAAGTTTCAAATTTGAATGTGTCACCGTATTCAGGGAGACATTCATTATCAATTTACGCTAATCACATACTGGAGATAATCGGTACACAGGAATTCAGAAATCACTTACCATTAACGTGATTGATGGATATGTCAGTGATGTGGTGGATACTGAATGGTGCTGTTGTTGTGTGTGCATGTATGTGTGTGTGACGCAGACAATTTATTAAGTAGCTGCATCATCTACTGAAGATCTTTGCCTAATTAGCTAACAGTATATTGATGTTCTAAATACCTGATGAATGTGTTAGTTTGTGACACTTTGATAGTCTGTGACTGTGCGTGAATTTTCTCATTGCATGCATCACACACAGAGTGAAACAGTAGTATATTTCGTGGAAGACTGATTTTCGACCACAAGTCACTTTTCTCATTCTCATCACCAATTGTAATTAGACAACTTCGTACCTCGATCTTTGTAATACTTCTTCTTGCTTCTCGTGGTATGTCATAAGGACCTAGGTTTCAGAGCTGTCGTCTTGGCCTATGCTATTGTGTAGTTGTGTCAGAGCACGCACTTCTACAACTCAGCTTTTTTCTACCCTTCTCATTACAGTCAACTAGTGTTTATTCGTGTGACCCTTTTTCGCTTTCAGCTAATCCACCTGACAATCGCGTAATACTTTCACCTCACACCCACTAGAGAGTATTAGATACACGAAAGTATCGCGTTTAATGAAATTAAAATGAGGTTGATTCTTGAGAAAAGGGGTTCGAGTATTGATGTCGTTTTTACTGCTGCCTTGTCAGGGATTCAACTCAAGTGTTTCAGAGCTCACCTCTTTGTATGGCACGACTATTGGTGTGTTACATCCCCCTCCCATATCTTACCGCCACATGTGAATGTTTCTCATTCATTCTGTCATTAGGGCTTCTATCATCTTCATTCTTATTACCTCCCACATACTTCTTGAATGATTTATCTGGATAATTACTGAGTGCCTGGGGCTCGGTCGCTTGCCTCACTTCCCTCCGTAGACTGTTAGGATTTCAAAGCTGGCTAGTTCATGTGTATTCTAAAATTCATGTTCCATGTAGAATATGGAATGAATACACGAATACTAACTGTTAGGAACATACTGACAAGCATTTCGTGTAATCTCAGTAATTATCAAGCATCGGAGTGTAGACGAAGCTGTGATTCCTATCGTATTTCAGATTTTTAATACACAGGCTGTCTTTCGAATTTAATCCAGACAAGCTATTTCGCCGATACGCCAAGAAAGCAATCCTTCCTACATCAAGTCCATTCGAAATAGACTGTGTTTCAATGCTGCGAAACCACAACCAATTCTAACGAATTACTTGTCAAAACGAAAAAGAAAACATGTCGGTTCTTCTGATGAATACTAACTTAACAGTTGAAATAAGGAAAAATAATAATACTGATTGGAAATAAACATTACAATTCACTCTGTGTACAGCGAGGACCTACCTCGGACGACCGACAATGAAGTAATAATGACGCAATTTCTTCAGATATCTGTTTAGTTCTTCCATTGTTTTAAACTCTGCTGGTCTTTCAGGAGGTTTGAATTCTGCCGATCGCTTTTCTACCGTTCGAATTTCGTTATTATTGTTATTAATAATATTTTTATTGATATGACCAGAGTTATGAAGTGGTGCATTTTTCATCATTCTGTTCACAGGACTGTAGTCAATGTCACCCTCGGAGTTTCTCCGTCCAGATGGATGTATTTCACCTTGCGTCTCACAGACAACAAGAAATAGTGTTAGGATACTGCAGTGGATTTGAAGACTTTTGAAAGTACGGACTCTGCGTGAAGCCAACATTGTCGAGATAGCTGGAAAATACAGTTTTATATTGTGTAGAAATAAAGATATTTCAGTGAACACATGGATTTTTCTTTCTTATGAGAAATGCAATTAGAGTAATCATAACTGAATGGAATTTGTCACCAGTCTATGAGAGACACAAAACAGTGGATGATAATGCTTCTATCGTTGAAACTTCAGTGTGTGGGGTCACTTACCTCATGGTCAACCTTTCCTATATACTTGTCTTGCTAACTGCTGGTTGAGAGAGGTTAACATGTGGGAACGCCAAGAATCGAACCACGAACGATGTGAGTCTTCTTCCAATGAAACGACGACGTGATGCTTAAATTTCGAGTAAGAGTCAACAGGAAATATGTATGTATTAACAGCCTAAGAATGGGGTGAAATCGGTCTCTTCTTTATCTAAGTAGCAGTGTGCAGATTGGCGTCTCATCACACTGACATTTTAGTGTAGCAGAGTCTAGGAGAAGAAATTATCAGCGTTGATAAGGAAACAGACACTTCAAATAATGTGGTTATCTTAGTCTGATAACATTCCAGTCTTTCTTTGAAAGAATGTCTTCTGTGTAAAATTAATGATGCCTCACTGGAATGGACATGCGCCTATGTGACACCAATGAAACAGTTAGCAATTACACTCAAATAGCTTCCATTCTATTCTCTTGGATTATTGCTAATTTCGGACTGTGTTCAGCGGTTTTATATTCACTAAACTAATTGGTATAATTGTAGATCTTCCTAAGTGACAACTCATGAATTGCTACCTTTCATGGGGAATGAATTATTTCACATGTTCTTAGTGAAACATTCATCTCCATATCTCCTGATTAGCCAGATCGACTGGTTTATGCTGGATTACGCTACTACTACTACTACTACTACTGCTACTATATTTATGCCGAGTTGTATTTGCATTGGTCATTTTGTCGACACAAAATCTCACCGTCTGTAAACGACGACAATCAAACCATCACGAAATATGACTTAAATCAAGGATTACTGAAATAGTTGCTTATTCCTTTTCAAAATATATTTCATCAAGAATCAACACTGGACAATCATTTGAACTAAGGAGTGCTGAATATTTGTCTAGGCATAGTTTGAAACTCTTCAGCAGTCCACACACACACACACTATGTCCCAACCATCCAGGACCGAACCAAGCACCTTCAGTTGACGAGGACATCTAAACCAACATTCAGTCACTCAGGCTGGATTTCAATGATCCCAGAATTCCAACTTCCGTTAGCTGACGATAGGTTGGTATCGACAGCCAAAGCCATCGATAAGCGACTATTTCAGCCTATTGTTGTGAATCTCACTCTTCAAAGCCTCACCTAAGAGCTTCAGACTACGGGTTTTGCGATCATTCGGGTTATTTTCAAAGCAGACTTAGTGAAGTTGTCCATAGTGAGGCTAATCCAAATCCCTACTGAAACCTTAATCTCTTATTCCACACAAGTGAACCTCCTTTATTGATATAAGTAAAAAACTTGGTAATTGTGGCACGTTATAACTCCATTATGGATAGGATTTTATTTTGATGAATCACACTGTGTTATAAAATAATATCAGATGATGGCGTTTCGAGCACAAACTATTGCTCATAATCAAATGAACTGTAGTCAAGATTTGACAAAATAGTTCTATAATATGTGGGCGCCGAGTGAGAAGTAGAATTTGTAAAAAATTATATTTGTAAAATCTCAGCGTTAGAATTACTCATTTCAATATCGCTGAGATTTTACAAATATAATTTTTTACAAATGTCTGTTGCTCATAATCATGTCAAGTTCTTGATATGATATCTTGATATGTTATGAGCAATAATTTGTGCTCGAAACGTCATCATCTCAAATTACTTTATAACACAGTGTGATTCATCAAAATAAAATCTTATCTATAATGGAGTTATACTCTGCCACAGTTCCCAAGTTTTATACTTATATCAATTAGAAACATAGACAACACCGCGAAAACGACAGGCAAGCTAGCCATACATTAATTTCTAAGTCAGAATCGACAAAAGAGGGACATACCTTCAACACTATGAAAGCAGGCTGGAAATCTACTGCGCTGAACCAGGATAAAGAACAAGATTCGGATCTTCAACAGCAATGTAAAGTAAGTCACTGCACTGCATGTTATGAAAAGCATTTCGAACAGGCTAATGAATACTCAAATCAACAGCTGCCACCTTCGCTAACTTTATACAGAACATCAAATGACCAGAAATAATAAGCAAATAGGAACTCTGAAAACGAACCAACCAACCAACCAACTATCCAACCAACAACCTAAATAACAGTCACAAAATTCTAAAGATTATTGAACAACACAGAAACATTGATTGATACATCAAAGACTGTGGCGGAGTTCAGTAAGTCAATCGAGTGACGTACCTCAGTGGAGGGGAGTGAGTAGTGTTCAATGGGAAAATTGAGGTTCAGCGTAGCTGAGCTCACTCAGTGTCATGAGGAGTAGAGATGTGTTGGTGAGATGAATAAAAAAGAATAGAACTGACAGTTGAAATGACTAAATGAACCGCCTAAATGATAAGTTCACTATCTGAAACACTATTCTGCTGTATACACAGCCCAGATTTTGACATATGGATTGTTATGACTTCTGTGGCTTGGAGTAATCTGCTTTCTATTACCCGAGACGCTGCCTCCGAATACTACTCTGCAGTCTACATCTAAGCGAACATCTTGTTCACTGCTGTCACAATGTATTCTCCTACAGCTTGAGAATGACATTACTGAGAACAGGAAGCCTTTCGTTAAACTCATGCCTTGTTCACTTTGCGGCAACATCATAATTCACCTTTGTCTCGTAAGGCTTAAATCAATTGTAGTGTATTGTAAGAACAAGATAAAATGATGAATAATATTCATAAAAGATTAACAAATTAACCTGTTAACTTACCGGAGATGAGGAGCACTATCAGTATTAATATTTCACAACTGCTTACAAGCATATTTATAGATGTTTCCTGGGAATTTCAAACCAGAGTGCACACTGCTCTGATGAGATCTTTCAGAATACACTAGATTCAGTGAAATTTTCTTTTCTCTTTCTCATATTTCACAACAATATCTAATTGTCTTCTTTTAAACTCAAGAAGATTACATATCTCACTTCACTTAAGCGTATGTTTAGAAAAAGTACTATCCAGCGAATTACTCCACTCATTATTCACAGATATTCCATTGTAAATAATCATATTTGAAACGGACATATAGAAGTTTATTAGAAGGCTTAGTCTCACTGCCTAAATAATATCTAAATTATGTAATCAATGTAATATTGACAGAAGAAGCATCAAAGTTAGGACTTCAGGTGAACATAGAGAAAACAGAGGTGATGAAGATTCCTGGCCAACAGCAACAGCAACAACAACAGACAACAATCAGCCAGCAAAAATGGGAGGAACCTGAAGGAAAAAACTTCCTTTATCCACCTACCTGGGAAGCATCGTTTCAACTACAGGCGGAACTGACAAGGATATCAGAGCCAGAATCGGAAAAGCAAGACAAGCTTTCATTACTCTCAAGTCTGTGTGGAGGTCAACAGCACTCAGCATCAAAAATAAGATCCAGATTTTCAACTCCAATGTGAAGTCAGTCAGTGCTACTTACTATACTGATCAGAGAGTTGGCGCGTCATAAGGAGCATCTCAAACAAACTACAGACCTTCATTAACAGTTGTCTTCGCTCAATACTCAAAGATCAGGAACAGGGATCTCTGACAGCAAACCAACTAGGAACTGATTGTGCAAGAAATAAGCAGGAAGAAATGGAGATGGATTGGCTAGCCATACACTGGGGAAACAATCCATCAAGTGACATCACTAGACAAGTCATTGCTCGAGTGGAACCCGAAAGGGAAGCGGCGAGTTGGTCGTCCAAGGGTGGGGTGACTTGGAGGAGGTCATGTGAAGAGGAGATGAAAGCATGTGGACAGACTTGGAGCGGGGTGAAAAAGTTGGCAAAAAACCGAAGGCAATGAAGACGTTTGGCTGAATCCCTATGTTACTCTAGGAACTAAAGGATATAATAATAATAATAATTTAATATTTCACACCCAACCAGGTGTAAATATTGTGCTAACATCGTCCAAGTGGGATATTCCAAATAATCTTTCCGCCACAGATATGAATATGAGTCATTTAGAGTATGAACGACTGAGGAATTTTTCCATCTTATCACGAATCGGGCATTCTAATGGAGTTTAATCCATGGAAGTTTAAATGTATTTGATAAGGTCACATAGTGGTGTACACTATTAACTGCTGTTAATGTTTTCAGCACATCTGCTCATAATCATCATCATCACTACTATATCAATGTAGTCACATATTCACATTTCCAAATGCACCTTATCCTTCAAGCATCTATTTCACAAATGTCTGTTCATTGATTCACATGTCTGATCAATTTATGACTGATGTATACGAATGACGTTTAAAAGTCGCCTGAGTGCATTGAGACGATAGTTGTGACGAATGAATTGTACTTCAAACGTCATCACCGAATAAATAACACTGTGTGAGTTTATCAGATAAATTTAGCCCTTGATGAAATTCTAAAATCAGGTGCATGCAGTCGACACACCACGATACGCGTTACATTCATTTACACATTCGATTTAGTGAGTAGGAGAGTGTGAACGACTGGTGTATGTGTGTGCATGTGTGTGTGTGTGTCTTGTGTTGTATCAACTGAAATGTACTACTGATGCAGTGGTTAAGATCAATCAAGATTATACAGCAGATTGCATGGTCTAACGGTCTTGTTTCTCAGGCAGCCAAATTACTCATTTCAGTTGTTCTCCCATCAATGAAACGACCAGCGAATGAGGGCTAAATAGGAAATTCTGAAGAGGAGAATTCATTGGAAAATCGTTCTACAGCTTCAAATACTGAACGTCATCTGCAGCCACACATTCTTCTCCGGTTAACTGACGACTGGTATTGAAACAATCTGCAATGTTTGGTGCAAAATTCACTGAAGTGAATGGAAATGGATTGGACATAATGGGGCATGAATGTACGTTGGCTGACATCAAACGACACACCCTCAAGTGGGACCCGAATGAAGATCGATGAGTTGACTTCACACCCGAGAGAATCATAAAAGCGGAGATGGAAGCTTTTCAACTATCGAGGATCCAGTTTCAGAGAGGTGCGGAGAAATGGCAATGTGTTGCTGTTTCCTTCCGAAGTCAATACTGAATTTAAGCTGAAATGTGCATCACTATTGCAACCGAGAGGAGGAGATTCAAATTGAAGCCGCATGACACGATCAATCACAGACATTTCACATAATTCAAAATAATATAATGAAGGCATCTGTACATGAGAAGACCGCTGCCCAGTACTCCCTGTGGCTGGTTTTCCATGGTTCTTTAACTGATATCGATCCGTAATCAACTCGTGACAGCAAACAAAACTAATCCTTACAAACCAACTACAGAAAATTAATCTGATGCTCGTTAGTGACCTGCTACAGGATGGAGTTTCCAGGAGGTCTAGTGAGAAGTCGTAACCAGTGTGGTTCATCCAGTCAAGTGTAAGGATGGATGTCCCACCGATGATATTGGTTAAGGTCACGCTAAATCAGCAATTGGCAGAATTTAAAATTCATGGATTGGACATTTAATCTGGTCCTAGTGAGTGAAATTTATAAATTTATTACTGCTGCCCTGTGTTCCAAGTGGAACATAGTGATACGGTAACTCATCTCAACTTTGTTGCATTTTCTGTAGTTCACTTCAGCTGGGTGCAGGATTGCCCGAATCCTCTCATCTCTTCCTTACCACACAATTGCCTCCATGTCATCCAATGACCAACGCCCCACTTGTCGCTTCAAATTTGGATTCTGCTCGAGTGATGGCCTGGCGTGGAATGTCATTCGACGGCATCCTCAATGTATGCCCGATTCGTCTGCCTTTCCTCCGACACGTTTGTCAAGTGATCTGTTCTTGGCTGGTTTGTTGCCAACCAGAGTTTCTTGTTAGTTATTCTTTCTGGCCGGCCAGCCGACCATATGATCTTCAGTATTTAGCCAGCAAGTGAACCTGGCACCTGTTGATAATGCCAGTAAATTGTTGTTGGAAATGCTTTTTGTGATGCACTGAACAAGTCTCTCACCCATATCGAAGAACCAAATTGATATCGGTGTTGAAAATTCGAATCTTGTTCCTTATGCTGAGGCAGAATGCAGAAGAACTCCAAAGTGGTTTCAGGTTGATGATGAAGGCGTATTCTGCCTTGCCTTTCCAATTCTGGCTGCCTTTGAAATCTTCGTCCATTTCTGACTGCCTGTATTTGAGACGATGCTTCTTAGTCGGATGAGTAAGTGAAGGAGATCACCTCTGCTAAATCTCTCTCGATGATGCTGATTACTGCTGGTTATTGTTGATGTTGCTGTTTGTTGGCTCCTTTAATCACCTCCGTCTTCTCCATCTTCACCTGTAGTCCTGACTTCACTGCCCGCCAGCCACTTCAGCCAGTCTGTTGGTTTTCGCCTGTGTGTCTTCGAATTTGTTTGACATTAGACACACATGATCTACAAAGTAATAAATCCTTTAAATTATTCTTAGCGATGTTAACTGAGCTCGCTGATAAACTTCGATTCAATTTTCTTATATATATATATATATATATATATATATATGTATATTGGATCACTGAATAATTGTAAATATTCATGCTACATGCAGAAATTATTTATCAGATAGTTGATGTCTACAAACTGGCACTCCTAATGTACAAAAGCTGAAGAATACCTTTATTATTAATATTATTATTACTGATATTCATAAAAGGCATTTCCATCAACAGACACACTAAGATTACTATTATTAATATAAATTATTATTAGTAGCAGCAGTATTAGCTGTGGTTCTCATAAATCCTTCGAGATCAGTGTTTACGCAGCATCTTACTGCTCATCGAATATGCAGGAGTATTAGCATACACTGTGAATTCCATTCCTAGACATTCTCCACTGTCGTTTCATTCGTGTGCCACTTTATACTTCCACCATTACCACAACTGCCGAAGTTGCTACATAATACTCATAAGTAGTATGCGCTTGAACTTCGTCTACACTGTAGCCGTAATTATTCATGTTGGAATCATGTCGAAATTGAGATCTCACTTGTCGTATTAACTCACTTGTCTACTCAGCCTCAAGTGACACTATATGCTCATAGTTGAAGACCATTTACTGCATACACACACACACTGCCGTATTCCTACTCTCCCTCTCTCTCTCCACTTCACACAATAAGTCTATTCGCATCTCTTTACATCGACCTGTACATTTTTGCAAGAGTCGCAGCTACGACACAGATCTGCAGTAATTTCCACGCATTATCAACTAACTACCTGAGGTAATTCAAGCCCTGATTGAGAGCCTAAATTCTACCTATACAAATATACTGAGATGAAATCGTCGTATTAGCGTAATGCTTTGCAATAGCGTATATCCTCACCCGCGATATCACAAACAATTCAGTTGTGCTTCACGTCGAATAGCACTGAAACCTGGAACACACCGTTGATGGCTTCGTCACTTGAAGAAGTAGGACAATGAGAAAATACTGTGCAAAGAAACAGGCTGAGAATAACACAGATTGTATGAGCGCGTTTTTTCACATCATAGCTGTTCATCATAAGTATCATGAGTATTTTATCATTATCACTATTACTATTATTACTACTATTATTTGATAGTAAAATTTGAAGTAGGAAACCTGTGCGAAAGAAACGACTACGAGTATGCAAGCTATCCTGGTTAACTGCAACAATTCTCACAATTACAGAAACGTGAAACTGGTTCTCCTTAAGGACACAGTTTGTACTCAGTATACTTTCAAGGCCCAATCGCTTATTTCGTAGATGAGAAAGTGAAAACACATTTCATCTTGAGATTCTCTATCATTCATGTGAACATGTGAATGTGAAAAGT